GTGCACTTTAATTGGATTGTTTAAGGTTGCAACCTTATGGAAACCACACCCAATATTTAACTATGCATTTATAATAATGTGAGAAAAGTAGGGTTACTTCCTTGGCGTGAATGGTAAAATCATGTTTTGGCCATTTAACATTAGTGATCATTCCCAATGTTATGAAATATCGGTTTTGAGTATTTTACCCATAATTATCATTATCGAATCGGCTATTGAATTGTGAAAATTCAAGCTAACTAGACCGATGGTATGTTTGGATAAAAACAGATGGTCCAACTAACTAAAATTAGTCAAATATCGATTTCTGTTATTGACTTTCCATGAGACTAGATTTTTAGCTACTAGACGGCCAAGGAACCGCTTGGCCTGGTGGTCCACTCCAATCTTGTTGACTATGTTTTTACCATCTAAAAATTACTGAATTGATGCCCATTTATTCAGCTCTTCAAATAGCCCAATCGACTCCAATAAGAAACAAGGATATCCGTTTGCCAAAAAAAAAATAAAAATACTTGTTGAAATTGTTGGAAAAAGAAAAGGTAAATGAATATCAAAATTGATGTAACCTAGTTTGGCTAAGGTGTTGGGAAGCCATAGTCACATCATTAAATCAAGGTGCTCATGAGCTGTCTCATAAGAAAGAGAAAGTTTATATATAGTTGCAACCATATTTTTAACCTTATTTGTAAAAATAAGGTTGCAGTAATCGAGGCTGTTTATTTGATTTTAATAGTGTAGATTTTGACACCATCTTAAAAGATATGTTATTTTTCGATACTGTCTTAAAGATATGCCAAACCTATACTATCTAGCTAAAATAAATGATATATAGTGCAAGCTTATTTCAACAAATATAACTGCAACCTTATATAAATCGCACCTAAACAAGAACGTTGACGAGTGTTAACGATGAAATGGATAAATTGTTGCCCATGGAAGCATCATTTTACCCCTTATTGTTTCTCTCTCTTTCCTCAAAAAGACCATCTCTCTCTCTGTAGGACCATATATATGAAAGAATGACTCGTGTGATCTAGTCAAAGTATATAATTTTTTTTTTCAATTATTTCTATTTTCTTAACGGTTTAGAGAACGTACAAGTAGTATTTTTATAATAAAATAACTTCAAATAAAAAAAATTAATACAATAAAATCTCAAGAACTTGAAGCCATTTAAAACCTTAATTTTCATTAATAAAGAAAATACATAACTTATGCTTAAGAATAAATAAGACAATAAAAAAATAAACAAATAAGCAATAAACAAAAGAGAGTGTCGAATATTACCTCAATCGGGCTTTTTACACCCAATACCAAGTCACCACCTTCCGATATTGTGGGATCTAATGGTCAACCTTCAATATCAGCCGTGAAAGCATGTTTAGGGCAGGCCACACTAATGGAACATAAATCATTTTGATCACAGAACTTAAACCTTAGGTGAATCCCCTATGATAACCTAGTTTGAGAGATAATAACTCTCTATAGCTTAAACCCTTAGCTTATTTTCACAATATGGAAGAGAGAGTTCCAAGAGTGGGGCATGCTCATTAGGTTTTATTGAGGGAGAGAGAAAGTTTCCAAGATGAAAGAGATAGATGAAAAGTTCAAGGGGTAGAGATTTGGGTAGGGTATTTCCCTTTTTATAGCGCTTAAATGGTATACGTTTTTTATGGCTTGCCTCTTCATGTGAGATTGAATATGCACCATCGATCTTGGGTGACTTGTGGAGTGAGAGATATGAGCAATCCATTATATACATAGGTTATCAATATCATATCGAAGATGTTAGAACCATTATCCTCCACTTCGTAAACTATTTTTTTCATAAATTAATTCAAACAAGAAATTAATATATAATAACATTATATTTTCTTATTTCATGCTCAAGCTTTCTCACACATACTAAAATTTGATTCAAAATTACCACAATGCTCAAGCTTTCCAAAACACAAATTACTTATCTTTGAAGTCAAGAGCTTGTGCTCTTTCAAAATAGAAAGCCACGTAGGTGGGGCGTGCCACCCTTTGTGGCACACAATGGGCTCCACCCAATTTGTCATGGGGAGCCCATAAGTCCTATTGGGCCTCCAATGTAATATTTAAAATAATATTATTTTTACAAATTCTTAAAATCATATTTGAATATTTAAATCACTATCTATATTTTTATAAATTCAAATTTGATAAGTAAAATATTCAAAGATTTATAAACATTCAAATAACATTTATAAAAATCATATATTATTAAAATAGATAAAATTAAATACTTTGATGAAAAAATAATCCATATGATCTAGGAATAAATATGCATTAGGGCACTCCAACTTCAACTGTGGACTACAGACCATACATACTTTATCAAACCGACCCAATGTTGCCCATGACCCACAATCCATATAGGAGATCATTAGTGGGTCACCAAAGCCTAGCCAATGGGCAAGGAGACGCAGTCTCAATTCATGGATTTCAGTTTCTTCCCTGGAAATGAAACCAATGCCACCCTGACCTAATGCAATCTATTACTCGATGGTGCACAGGAGTTATCTCTCGTACATGCACATGCTTCAAACTAAAAGGTGGTACGTTTCAGAAAATGACTATCAATATGCATGTCGTATGATGGCATGTAAATGAGGTTTTGGCCCCGTCTCTGAAGGCTTCCATCATATACAAGGGTCACACAGTCCATTAGCTCACTCTTCCAAGCATACTTCGACTTTATCAAGGGATGACCCATTTAACTCTTATCGGTTTGTTTTTCTATGCCTAGGTAAGATGAGTTTTTCCCAACCAGACTAACCTAACACGTTAAGTACACTTCGGTATCAGCAAACATCATTTGCTTAGTATGGTCCACACGGGACTACACTCTTATTGAGTTCATGTTGCACTATATAATACATTTACAATCACTCATAAGGCCTTTAATGGCTAAACACACCCAACAATATATATATATATATATATATATACACACACCTTGTTTCATCCCCCCTCCCCCATCTTTTGTAAAGACCTCACTAAAGACATGCCCCAACCTCCCCAAGTTCTTTTGGTACTATGCAAGGTTATAGTGGGTCGGAAATTCATTAGAAGAGGTCGTTTCGAAGTCTAAAAATCCTCAAATCGATCATTTCAACCTTAAGATGTGTGTACAAGAGCAAATTGCTAGAGGGGCTGTGCTTTGGGAAATTTGGAAACAGAGGAATAGGTGAACCTTTGAGGGGGCTAGCATTTCGGATGATAGACTGCTCGATCACATCAAGCTCTCCTTATGGAATTGGTAATCTATCACCAAATTGGGGTGGCGTTTGTCTCATTTAGATGTCATGCTCAACCTTCCTAATCTATTATTGCTGGATAAAGTCAAGAGGAGACTCTGTTCTGTCTAGATGAGACTTTGTTCTGGACACTGGATAAAGTCAAGATGAGACTTTGTTCTGGACAACCTTCCTTAAGTTGAACTTTGGTGGCAACTCGTTAGGCAATCCTGGTCCCCTTGGTACTGCCATAGCTAATCACACGGAGCTTGCTTCCTTATTACAAGGCCTAAAATTTATTTCCTCCCAAAACCTCACCTCTCTTAGATTATTAAAAGGGATTCCTTGAACGTGATTGGCTGGTGCAAGATGGAATGGCGTATCCTGTGGGAGCTTCAATCTATTTGGTTGGAAATCCTAGATCTCTCAGCCTCCCTCTCGGTCTCATTTTCTCATGTTTATCGAGAGGCCAATTCCCTGGCTAATTCTCTTGCTAGACGAGGGACTTATTTGCTTTCCCTTGTGTTCTCTCCTGATGTAATATCTTTTTTTTTAGTTATTTTAATAAAATCTTGGATCCTTTGTCAAAAAAAAAAAAATCTTTAAAATTGTGTATCTTGTAATGTATTTTTTTTTACGGTCAATTTTGAAGATTTTCAAGTGTTTATAGATCTATTTGATCTGCGCTATTTTTAAAGTTTTAAATTTTATAATTATATATGAAAATGCATTTTCAGTCCATCACAAAGATTTCCATAATTGAAACAACATCTCTTAACACCATTTGAAGGTGCACCGTACTTTGATTGTTTAGAACCTCAGCATTGTACAAATCATACCCTTCATCTATTGAAATGAGTCTCACTCATAAAATCCTACTTAGAGTTGGATTTTTGGTCCAAAATTTTGTAGGTTGAATATCTCAACTATGGTGAACATGTACATAAAAAATAAAATAAAATTTAAATTTTTTCTTGATGTAGCTTTAGTATTATTCTTTTTAAATTTTCTAAGGGTTGCCATTTTTTACATCCAATTACATGGATGTCCGGTGCGTTGGGGGATGCTAGAAGCGCGTACCCCTGATGCATAAAAAATAATTTTCCTTGAAGTTTATATAAGGGGTATGGTTTGCATAATGATGCATTTTTTTTTTTTTGGGTGAATAAGGATGCAACTTTAAATAATCAAACTTTAAATAATCAAAATAAGGTGCATCTCTAAAATTTGAAATAAGAAACAATTTTGGAATAAAAAAAATTTTAGATGCCCCGGGAATTTATTTTCATAATTAATTATAAAATTTTAATCCCAAAAACTTGCTCAAATATAGCATATGTATTTTTTTTAACAAGAAAATCAAGATATATAGATGCATGAAAATCTTGAAAATGGGCCATCTAGATATACGTTGCAAGATGTACTATTTTTTTTAAACTTGGAATATATATTTTTCCTTATCCATATATCAATTAGATGGTTTATTATGGATTTTAAAGTACACCTTAATTCTACAATATAAGGTGTAAACCTTATATAAACTTTTTCGGTATATAAGGTGCAAATTTTATGACAGGAAGAACTCCCAAAATTCGAGGCCCTCGCGAAACTTGGCGAAATTTCGAGAGTCCCGGTTTACCGAAAAGCGGCATTTGCTCGAGCCTAAAGATTTCAGGTATCTATTCGGATTTATATTTCCGTACCAATAGTGTGAATTTCCCCTACACCAAAAAGATCTCAAAAAAGAAAAAGAAAAAGAAAGAAGGAAAACTGATTCTATAATTTGGAGCTTCGCTTTGGCGCTAAAGAGAACGGCTTTATTCTTCTCTTTTAATTGCGAAACAGTAAAAACCCTAATTATCATAGTCTAATTATTCGAGAGGTATTATGCATTCATATTAAAACATGAATTTGTTGAAAGATTGTTGCTTTAATCGCGCATTTATTTTTTTGCATGATTGGATTTTTCATTGTTAGAAACCATGGATTCCCATATATTTTGTTCTCTGATTTATTCTCTAATGGGTCAGGGATTCAAATCACGCACGATCATCCATATAAGTTATTTTTTAGGTAGTTAATTTTCCGAGGAGGGAAAGTTTCTGGTGTTGTGATGATGAAGAGTTAAATACAGAAGAGGATTCGATCTGCTAAAGCATTTTGAACCAGCTAGGGTTACACAGGTATCCATGATCTGACCTAATATGATATTACTATTGTTCGTGTTTTTATATATAGTTTATATTGTTCAAAAGCCATTCCTTTTTTGTGATCAGCTCTGTTGCAATTGCTTTAATCTATTACTATGAATTGTCTATATTGCAAGGATGATCTCGCTTGCAATATTTACAGTTTCTTTGTGAATGTCCATTGAAATATATAGGCTCATCGTTGGCATTATTCAATAAAAATAGGAAATTTTGGTTGGTTGTGCTGTTTCTGGAATTTGAAACTAAAAGAAATCATCTTTGGATCATAGTTCAATTTTTATTTGATTCCAAAGAAATGTGAGATGATGAGTTTGATTAAAGAACTAGAATTCCTCATGGCAAAATACGTCATGATTGTTGGATCATAGTTCAATTTTTATTTGATTCCAAAGAATGTGAGATGATGAGTTTGATTAAAGAACTAGAATTCCCTATGGCAAAATGTGTCATGATTGTTGGTGCTAGGGTCATGTTTCTTGGTATCACATTTTTCTATATGCAGGAATTCGAAGATGGTTCGATTTGTGATAAAAGCCTAACATCAGCGATTCATGGTTGATTATACTCTTCTTCATCTTCTTCAAAAAAAGGTTAATTATACTTATTTGATTGAACTTCCAAGCTCATGTTTTCGGTTTGCTAGGATGGCATTTAGGGTGGTTCATATGGGAATGGAATTTATTGGGTTTAAAAGAGAAGAATCAGTGATGCAGCACCAACTTAGTTGGGATCCTACATGAGCATAAGGAAGTACATGGAGGTTTTCAAGGGCCTGGACAGGGGGGTTAATAGGAGTTGGCAGGGGTTTTGGACTGGATGCAGGGTCTTTGGGCTCCTAGGCTAGGGTATTCTGGGGTTGGGGTATTCATAAATGATAAAAGCATTTGTTTTTTGGAGCAGTTCAGAGAAACATTTTATTGTATTTTGGAATGATGTCGTTTCTCTTTGGCTCCTATGTTTTTTGTATAAGTGTTTATTTGATACATGGAACCAATGGTGAAACATTGCTTTAGTTTTTGAGCCCATGGAGAGCATAAATTTTGTTTGAGTGGCAAGATTTGTCTGGTCCTTGTGATGCAATGCTACGTGAATGCTATAGGTTTGTCCTGTATTACTTTCTTCAGTTTTAGAAAGTCTTAATGTTTTCACTTTTACTAAGTGTTCAGCTTATTGCTAGTTTGTCTTGATCTCTTTTGCCTGCACATTTTTCCTTTAGGAATATGTCATTGTTTTAATTGGCAATGACATTCTTTTTTGTAATTCTCACGCAGATGGCTCTGGTGGATTACATCACTGTAACAAAATAATGTTTTAGAAATGATCCATCTGTCAACTGTCTTGTTTTTGTTGTTGCATTGATTTGCTATGTTAACGTTGTCCCACACTGGAACAGCAGCATGCACAATTATGCAAACCTATAGCAAAGAAGTTGCAGATTGTGATACTCATAATGATAGCAATGGGGACTTAGAATTGGAGGAAGAGGATGAAGATGAGGATATAGACTTCGACCCTTTTGTGCAAGATACTCCATCTCCCGAAGCCTCTTCAAGCTTGAGTTCTGAGAATGGAGGATTTGACGATGAGGCTCTGTATGAATTTGGAAGCTCTTCTCATCATAAGGACTCTGATGCATTGTTGGAACCGGTTATTGGAGGCTCCAAGGATGCAGATGCTGGACAGGAAATTGTTGACAATGTGGAAGACATTGCAACCCCTGAGAAAGGTGTCAGTGGGAAAGATGGCGCAATGGGGAAATCGAAGAAGAGGAAGTCACCTTTGATTGATGAGCAGGAAACACAAAGTTTAGGTAATGCTACCTCATCAGTTGGTCATCTTGAAAAGAGTCAGGTTTGTACGGAGGGTGCCCTTGAGAAGGGAAAGCAAGATGGAGATTGCAATAGAACAGAGGATGAATTGTTGGGCCAAACCATGGATTCCCTGCCTGATTTGAGAATTTCAAGAAAAACCATTATTGAAACACAAAGGGGCCAAGACAATGATGTGGATATTGAGGATGCTATATGTAGGCGAACTCGTGCACGCTACTCACTTGCTGGCTTGACACTTGATGAGCTGGAGGCATTTCTCCAGGAATCAGATGAAGATGACTATTTTCAAAATGTTGATGATGAAGAGGAATATCGTAAATTCCTGGCTGCTGTTATTTGCAAGGTAGATGGAGATGATAAAGATGATCAGGTGATGCAGGATAAGGATGAAAATGAGGATGATGACGAAGACAATGATGCTGACTTCGAGCTTGAAATTGAAGAGGCCCTAGAAAGTGACAATGATGAAAATTCTAGTGAAAAGGTTGAGAAGAAAAACTTACGAGGGGCTTCTCATAAGCATGAGACCAGGCAGAATAGGCGTCAAAAGGTGCCTACCCAAGACAAAGGGAGGCTTCTAGGTTTGGCAAAGACCCCACTGCGTCCCATATTGCCATTAACAACAAATGCACAGGCCACACACTCTTCGCCAACAGAAATGCAAAATGCAAATCATGGTCTTCATGGTAAGTCTTCATTGCCTATGATTGATACGGCAGACGGGTTTACTCCTCATCAGATAGGCCAATTGCACTGCTTAATATATGAGCATGTCCAACTTCTTATTCAAGTGTTCTCCTTGTGTGTTATGGATCCTTCTCGTCAGCACATTGCAAGTGACATTCAAAGAATGATTATGGATCTGGCTGATAAGCGTGAAGAAGTTTTAAGTTGGAGAAAAACCCCATATCCTGAGTGTTGTTTTCAGCCCCCATTGGTTCAGCCATCCGCTTCTTTGTTAAAGGATCCCTATTTTTTATCTCTAGTTACTTCCAAATCGTCAGAGTTACGGAGGCCTTTTTGCAGCAGTGTTGGGTCTGCTTCTTGTCAACCATCTTCAGGGTCCCCGAATGTTCATTGTGTGTCAGGGGATACCATTCAAAATAATGGGGATCCTGGTTGGGTACCTACAGTATTGGGAAGTGTGGTATCAGTCCTTGACGTTGCTCCACTTGGTATGGCTCGAGGATTTCTCGCGGATGTTTCTAATGGTAAGTCACTATTGTGATTCTGGTTGCTTTGACTTTATACAGTCAATAACAATGATTTATTGCTATTCTAACTTTGATTTGCTTTGGTGGCATGAAATTGTCTTGGCAGCCGTGGAAGCGCATAAGAATCGTCGGGTGGAAACTGCAGATTATAATACTTGTTTTGAAAAAGAACCTCTTTTCCCTTTTCCTGCATTTGCCAATAGTGTTGAAACTAATTCAACAATTACTAGAGGAGGAGTTTCCACATGTCCAAACTCAGATTCATCTTCTAGGCCTGTACCTTCCCAGCCAAAGAAGACCATGGCTGCTGCTCTTGTAGAGAGCACGATGAAGAAGTCAGTTGCTCTTGTCCCCAAGAACATTGTCAAGTTAGTCCAGAGATTTTTTCTAATGTTCAATCCAGCCTTATTTCCTCACAAGCCTCCTCCAGTTGGTAATGCAAACCGGGTGCTGTTCACTGATTCTGAGGATGAGTGAGTAAACCACATGCTTTCTTTATCTTTGTGATGGCATGGAATTTTATGATTAAATGTTGTATTCTCCCTGATCGCTCCATAAAAATATAAATAAATAAATAATAAATAAAAAAAGCAGTTTTTATGTGTCTGTTAGTTTATCGTTTTAGCTTCATGTTTGTGAACCACCATTAGCTTTATGTTTCTACCTCATCTGGTCTTTGCTATATAAGCTGCTGTAATATAAATCATATACCTACTCAATGGAAAAGGGAATGGAATTGGGGACATATCGTGGAACTGGTGCTCACCCTAAATGTAAGATCAGGTGGAATAAGCTGCGAGTAATGCTTATTCATCTGTTAATTTTTACGTCTGAGAGAAGGAAGGAAACTGCTTAACAAACCAATATAAGTTATTACAGGTTCCCATCATTGGCAAAAGGACCGACCATTTTCTTCTGGCGTTGCTGCCCTTTGTCCCAGTGTCACATCCACATTGATTGAACTTTTTTTGTGTATAAAAGAATCCTTGAAACTCTCCATCTGCATATGTGTGTACCTTCTCGATGTTGTGAATGCGAACAAGCCAAATTTGTGTAGTAACCCCCTATGTAGTCCAGTTGTTCTCCTTAGCTAACCTAAAAATAATTTGATTCAAGCAAAGAAAAAGGGGTTCTTCACATTAATCTACTGCAGATTAAGTGCAAAGCTTCCTTTGCATCCTACTCCTTGGTTAATTTGGAAACATACTTTTCAGATAAACAAGTGAGTTTCCTCAACTGGCTCAGGCTGTGACACTTCGCTCCCTGATTGCTGAATCTCAACAAAAAATTTCATCTTAGTAGTGCTCCTGCCATGTTGAGCCGCTTAGAGTCGTACTTCACTTCCACGCTTAGGCTCTTGTGCAAAGTGGGGGCCTGTTAGCCTCTTATGCCATTCATTGGCTTATGCCCTAACTTGCTATGCCCTGAAACCGATGTCTTGGACAAAATGGGGAGGGAATTTATTTTGATGTCTGTTGTTAGTGTGAAATGGTCAAAGCATGTTTGCGAAGCTGTTATACGAAGAGTGTGTGTGCTGTGAAGATGGGGACATTGCTGCATGTTGGAAAGATCCCATAATGGATCCCATTAAGTGCATCCTTCTTAAATGTAGAAGCAACATTGTTCTTGCCCATTAGATAGAGTTACCCGTTTCATCGAGACTCTTTATCTTTCACTTCCTTGGGGATACTATTTGGGAAAACTCCAGTTGGCCAGGTCCATCGGAACCAAAGGTTTATGGCTTCATTCTGAGGAATATTCAGTCATATTAGCAGAGATTTATTGTGTAAATCCACTGGACTCTGTACTCCGGCTTGCAATTTTCAAATGGTGCAAAGTTATCTTTAACACACATGCTTTCTATCTATCTATCTATCTGTCTACCTATCTATCTATCTACCTATCTATAGATTTGGTGGTCTGTCTGTTTGTCTTTCTGCCTCTCTCCCTCCAACTCTCCATCTCTCTCTCTCTCTCTCTCTCTCTATATGTATATATATATATATATACACATTTCTTTGTGTGTGCGTGTGGGTGTATGTGTCGCTAGATACAACTTGGACATGCATAGAAATGACTGAAATGCCCCTAATGTCAAGGCATTACACTGTAGGGTGGAGTCCTATCAATCTCTTTTTTCTTATTTGATGTCGAAACTAGGGAAAGTATACTTGCTATCCTAAAATCGGTTTTTCCATGTTCCATTTCATTCATATATTTATGATTTGGTCATTACACTGTTTTCTGATTGGACTTACTCTTATGTGGGTTTTCAATGTTCATGGACAATATGATATTTTCCAACTTTAAGCGCTCATGTGGCTCTAAATTCTAAATTGCTTTTAGTTGTTTTCACATCTTCCCTGGAAATGTTTTTAGGCTATGTGAAACTAGGATTCCACACTATTTGGGGTTTTAAAATCTCATGTGTCACTGTTGTACCTTGCCCCATGATATCCTGATAGATGACTATCTCTCTCCCTTTTCTTTTTTTCTTTTTTTCTGTTTTTTGCTTCTTTTTTGATGGGACCCTGATAAATGACTACTTTATTGCTGATTAAGTTGGTTGTTATCGACCATCAAGTGCTTCGATAAGATCTTGTTTGCAGTATGTAGACTTCATGGGCTTCTTTTGAACTCCATGGGTATCAAGTCATACAAGTTCAACACAATTTGAGCCTCTAATTTTGTGCTTTGCATTGCCCTCAATATGTATTGGCCTCCATGAAAGTTTTTTATTGTTAAAGAGCTACAAGAGGAACCCTAGGGGTAGATGAAATCTACAAGTGCAGTAGCAATTATCGTTTCTTTATTCTGTCATACCTGATTATAAGTTTATTAGACCGTTGTTTTTCGTCTTTAAATTCACATTTCTCTTCTTCTAAATGATTGTTACCTCTATCGGGTGATTATTGCTTTTGCAATTTGTTTGCACTAGATGAATGTCAATAACATGATGTGATTGATTAATTTGCCTTGCTGATTTGCTTTGGGAGCTTTGTGTAGGTTATTAGCCATGGGGTTGATGGTGTATAACAGTGACTGGAAGGCAATCCAAGAACGCTTTCTTCCATGTAAATCAACACATCAGGTGGGCAATCCTGAATTTTGGAAGCATTTAGTTTTCAACTATAAACTTTACTAGTCATAGTTCTTGCATGCATGCAATTGTATCAAATGGGAACAGCTGATAGGTCAAACTTATCTCTGTTAAATTATTTTGGAATTCACATGGTATTCTAGTAGATTGTGGCTTGAGTACTTTCTCTGGTAATTATGGTTGTAGTTAGTTTTTCTTTCAATTTTCTGGTCATTTCAAGTTCCGACTGGCTTGTCATTGGCTGCCAACTTATGTTCTTTCCATCCTTGAAATTCTTCTGTGAGAGAACTTTTCGAATGCTTTGGGCAACCTGGTGTTTGCATGTTTCTGTGTCCAACAGTTGAACTTTGCTTAGGACTACTTCAAAGCCAAACTAAGTCAACTTATAACACTATAATTGTTTTTCTTTCTTTCATTCAATTTTTTTTTTTTGCTTGTAAATTCTAAATGGAATAGGCGAAAGCATAAAAAATTATGATATGTCTTACATATGTATTATAATTAAATACATATCCCATGTCATATACATATATAGAGACACACACACATGCACACTTACACCCTCACATTCGTTTGTTTACAAATATACATGTCTTTATTCTTTCATTTATTGTAGATATACAAACACTTAAATAAATATAAAAATACTATTTTATCGCTAAGGCCTAAATATGTATTACATCATCATCATCATCATCATAGCCTTTTCCCAATTAATTGTGGTCAGCTACATGAATCCTGGTCCACCATTTTGCTCTATTAAAGGCCATAACCTCAATGAGGCCAAAAGCCCCCATATCTTTTCTGACTCTTTCCAACCATGTCCTTTTGGGCATATCCTTTGCCTTTTTCAATCCTTCCACTTGAACTAACTTGCACATTCTACCATGTGTTGTATTAGGTTGGCGCACACATGCCCAGCCCACCTAAGTCTGCTCTCTCTCATCTTATTGCCTATTGGCGCCACACCTAACTTTTCCTGAATGGATTCATTTTGAATTCTATTCTTTATTGTCTTACCACTCATCCATCTCAACATCGTCATCTCTGCTACACTCATTCTATGGGTATATTGTTTTTTTTCCGCCCAATATTCTGCCTTATCTAGCAAAGCTAGTATTGTTGTTGTCTTATGAAACTTGCCCTTTAGCTTCATTGGTATTGGGTGATCACTTAAATTCCAATTGCACATCTTCACTTCTCCCACCCAGCTCTAATTTTGTGTGAGACATCTTCCTCAGTCTCTCCATTTTATTGGATAATCGACCCAAGATATCGAAAGTGTGATCTTTTTTGTACTTCCTGACCTTCAATTTTAACTACTGCCTCGTCTCTACTCCTATTAATACTAAACTTGCATTCCATATATATTGTCTTAGTTTTGCTAATTTTAAAACCTTTGGATTCTTGAGCAGCCCTCCAAAGTTCCAACTTTGTGTTGACGCCATTTTGGGTCTCATCAATCAAAACTATGTCATCTGTGACCAACATGCACCACAGTACCTCATCCTGTAGGTGCCTAGTTAAGTCGTCCATAACGAAGACAAGAGGTATGGGCTCAATGCTGACCCTTGATATAAACTTATTGTCGTTGGAAACTCACTCCTCTCCACTAGTTGTTCGTACACTAGTTAGCGCTCCATCATACATATCTCTCATCAAGTCGGTGTAGTGTCTGAAGACTCATTTCTTTTTCAACACCCCCCAAATCAAATCTCGAGGTACTCTATCATATGCTTTCTCTAGATTATAAAGACCATGTGGAGATCTTTTCCCTTCATCCTAAACTTCTCAATCAGTTGTCTAAGTAGGAAAATAGCCTCAGTTGTTGACCTTCCTGGCATAAAACCAAATTGGCTTTCAGATACACTCGTTTCATGTCGTAGTCGTTGCTCAATCACTCTCTTTCAGAGCTTCATCGTATGGCTCATATGCTTGATCCCTTGATAGTTTACACAATTCTGTATGTCTCCTTTGTTCTTGTAAATACATACCACAATACTTTTTCTCTAAACGTCTGGTATTTTCTTTATTGTCAACACCTTGTTGAACAACTTTGTTAGCCAGCCAATGCCAATCTCCCCCATGCACTTCCAAACCTCTATCGAGATACCATCTAGTGCTAAAGCATTTCCTATCTTCGTCCTTTTCAAAGCTTCTTTCACTTCCGACATCCTAGTCCTACGAATGTATCTATGACCACCGGCTTCATTTATACCAAGTTTTGGCAAAATTTTATGTTGGTTGCCTACCTAACAGAACCTAGCCCTTTTACCTGGGCATGGGATGGGTTAAGAAAAATTTTAAGGTCATCACGCTTCTTAGACCATATTAAATATGTATTACATACAACATATATGTTAGAAAATAAAATATTGTCACATAGGCTTTTTTAGCCCAATTGTAGACACGTCCATGTTGTTAGTAGCTGATGCAGCCTTGCACTTCCCATTAGAAGAGAACACAACTATGTCGTACATTTAACTGTAATGTTTTACTTATGCAGATATTTGTCAGACAGAAGAATCGTAGCTCAGCCAAAGCACCTGAAAATCCGATAAAAGTATGTCTTTCTTGTTCTTTCTGTTTTTTTATTTGTTTATAATTTGTATTTATTTTTGTACTTAATATGTATCTTTGTGTATGGAAATGTATTATTACCCTTTTGGCTTTATTTTTATTACTTTTACTAGGAAAGCATATTCATCTGCCACACACACAGATCTATAAATAGATAATTTTCTTTTTGAATGGATAGATAAACAGATAGTTGGACAGTTAGATATATAAATTGCTAAAAATTTGGAGGCAAAAACTCCTTTTGAAAGGGTTTCTTCAAAAGAGGTTTTGGTGCTTGGAAAAATGAATTACCAGGTCCGTCGATATGCTATCTGATTATAGCCAAGAAAGAGTCTCAATTTCAAACTTTAAACTTGCATGAGCAGCTATCTGTTAATAGCCAAGAGACGGTTTAAAGTTGAAGCTTTCTTGGGTGGGGCCTTTTGTACGATTGGCATTGCTTCTAATTGGGTCTGCAGTTTCCATGATATGATTAAAGATCTTCAGTTATGCTTTTGATTTGTACAGAAACTAGGAAGATTAATGATGTTTCAAGATATATGTTGCAACTTTGTTTCTGGGCTGTCCCAAAATTTGCATGCCTATGGTTTTTCAAAAAAAATTTCTTTCGTTGTTTTTTTTTGGGCAGTTGTTGCTTGAATGTTCTTTTTCATATTTTGTTCCCGCAAATATCTTAATGGATGTTTTGTTTGCATGTCTTTTGGAATAAAAGGGTCTATTTATGTTACACTCTTCTTTCATTGTGACCTGATTTCTATTACTGCAGGCAGTTCGTAGAATGAAGTCTTCTCCTTTGACTGCAGAAGAGAAAGCACTAATTCATGAGGTCTCACTCAAAATTTACTTGTTGCTCATAGTATCGTTCACAGCTTCTTTTTGGTTCTTTGATTACTTAATTGGGTATTTTCATGTGAAATTTTCAGGGACTTAGAGTCTTAAGGCTCGATTGGCTATCAGTGTGGAGATTCTGTGTTCCTCATAGAGATCCTGCCTTACTACCTCGTCAATGGCGAATAGCACTTGGGACTCAGAAGTCTTACAAAATGAGTGAAGCTGAAAAGCAAAAGCGCCGGCTTTATGAAGCAAAAAGAAGAAAATCCAAAGCGGCAAAAACTGATGAGGATCATGTGCATTCAATAACGGCCCTAGCTCCAGATATTTTGTTGAATGTTCAATTTTTTTTTGACCTTCAGCATGACTACAGGATGTTTTCCTTTCTATGCAGGGTCGTCAGACTGATAATGTTGGTGATGAAGATAACAGTGGAGATGACAATACAGAAGTTGAAGAAGAAGAAGAGGAAGAAGAAGAAGAAGAAGAAGAAGCTTATGTGCATGAAGCTTTTCTTGCTGATTGGAAACCTAAGGACTCCATTCTTGTGACCTCTGAAACTGCCTTATCAGCTACATTGGACAATAGCAGTAGGGGTCTTGGAGTGGATGGTTCATCCCCACAAAAGGAAGCCCAAGTCAGTGAAAAAGGTTCTATTGCCCTGATCGACGGATTCAGAAAAGCTTTGCCAGATAACAGTTCCTCACATCAACTTATTGCCTCATCAAAGCCTTCTGGAAGGCAACCTATCCCTCTTCTCACTCATGTTACTTGCAAGGAATCTCACACTGATTCTTCCACCAAACTGGCTATGGATAGTGGCAAAAGGCCCTTACGAAGCCAAGTGACATTTCGACCATATCGCATGCGTAAAGGGAATACCCATTTAGTCAAGTTGGCACCTGACTTGCCTCCTGTCAACCTTCCCCCATCTGTGCGGGTCATCCCTCAATCTACTCTTAAGACTTCACTTTGTGGGGCATCTAACAAACTAATTGCTAAAGAGAAGAGAAATTCAACTGCACAGTTGAATATATCAACCATAACTAGTTTACCATCTTCTTCAAAGAGTAACAGTAAGGGACCAGAAGGTTTGAATAACTCAACTGAACAGTTGAATAAGTCAGTGATAACTGACTTGCCATTTTCTACGAAGAGTAGCAGTCAGGGAACAAAAGGCTCAAATAAATCAACTGAACAGTTGAATAAATTGGCCACAACTGAGTCACAATTTTCTTCAAAGCAAAGCAGCAAGGAAAACGAAGGTTTGAACAAATCAACTGTACTGTTGAATAAATTGGCTATAAGTGACTCACCTTCTTTGATGAGTAGCAGTAAGGAACCAGAAGGTTTGGATAAATCAACTGAACTGTTGAGGAAATCGGCCATGATTAACTTCCCATCTTCTATGAGGAGTAGCAGTAAGGAAACAGAAGGTTTGATGTCCAAATCATCTCGAAAGACTCCACCTGTGGAAAAGAAATCTTTGTGTTTCAGTTCTAGTGATAAGAATGTTGATTTACAAGATCAAAGATATTACCCAAATCAAAGCACATCTGTGGATGTCTCCAATGAAGTTGATTTTCAGATGCATCCTTTACTCTTCCAGACTCCTGAAGGGGGTTACCAGCTGTATCATCAGAACTATAATGCTACCACTTCAAGTACATCTCACTTTTTTTCTGGAAATTCGCTTCATGCAAATTTCAGTTCGTTCTTTAAGCCCCAACAAGTGATTAGTTCAATTGTTGACCAGTCTCCTACTATGGGGTCAATAGAGGCACCCTCAAGCTTGCGTACCATACACTTTCACCCTCTGTTTCAGAGGACTGATGTCATAGATAAGGACTCCAGGGCTCTGGCTGCTTCACTTCGTTCCTCTGTTGCTTGTGCAACTGAGCCTCAAGGAAATGATAAATCTTACCCCTTCAGTTCTTCGAATCCCATTGAAGGAAATTCAGATGAGCTGGACTTGGGTATTTATTTGAGCACTGGGAATGGAAGGAGAAAAATAATAGAAAGAGTAAATACTAATAATGATAATACAGATTCAGGTTTAAGGTCTAGGCAAACTCATATGTTTGAGGAAAGCCAGCTGGTTAATGGATACCAGACTGGAGTAGAATGCCTTACACCTTCAACTACAACTAATTTATGCATGCATGCAATACAGAGCTCTGATGAATTTGATTTATGGTCAAGAAGTAGGAATAGAGCACAGGGCCTATTTGCTTTGGAACAACCAGATGGATCAAATGGTGTTATGCAGAGATCCACTGAGGAAGTAGTGATGGAACATGAAGAATTAAGTGATTCTGAAGAAGAAATTGAGAAACATGTGGAGTTTGAATGTGAAGAGATGATTGATTCTGAAGGAGATGAATCAGATTGCGACCAGGTACACCTATTCTCTTTTTTCAGTCATTTCAGGATCTACTCGTGGTTTATATCAAATTGGAAGCTTTCCCATCTACTCTATGTGAAAATGGCTAATTGATCCAAAACTTTATATACAGTATTTTAACATATCTCTTTTATTTGAAGAAAGAAGTGATAGGATATTGTAAGCTGGTTACTTGTATTGAATGTCTGATTATTATTTATGATTCTGTCATGTACACACACAAGCATGTGCACTTAAATATTTATACTTCATCGAGCATTCCCGTGTCTTAGTTTGTTGTGCTGAGGTTCACCCTGCAACTCCCATACTCCTTTTATTACTTGACTGAGGTTCTATCCTTTATTATGGAGGGATCAGAACTTTAACTGATTTTGATGCAGTTGTTTTTAGTTTTCCTTTTAAGAAATTTCTTTATTTTTCTATTGATTAGTTTTAGATTTTTCCATCAATATACATCTTCATGTACTTATATGAAGATTTGCTCTTTACAGGAAGTACAAAGTATCGAGTTTGAGGAAGAAGAGATTATTTCCGATGATGACAATGCTGAACAATGTAGCCTGAGGGGTGATACACCCCACACTAATGCTTGTGCTAGCAATGGCCTGGTGACCTCCTGTGACTCAACAGCAATTGACAAACAACCAAAAAGAAGAAAAAGATCAACACAGCTATCCTCTCATCTATCCATTCCTGATCCTTCCCGTTCAAAATCCAAGACTGAAAGTGAGAAAAAGAAACGAGTTAGAAAGAGTGCAAGTAAAGCAGCTGATTCCGACCAGAACAAATCAAACAATAGGCGACCTAAGAGAAAAGAAAGCAAAGCTTCCTCAGTATCTTTTGATCCATTGCAGCCCCTTACCTGCACCTCTAAGAGGAAACCTAGAAAGTGTGTCCAAAAAAGTATAGGTTTTGTGAATTTTGTGGAGAAGTTACATCCTTCTAATTCAGATAACTGTTCTGATAATTGTACCAGTAATGATTTACAGACATGTAGTCTTTCATTGATGCCTTGTCCCTCAAAAATAGGTGATCATGCTCCAAATGTTAACCCCCCTGTGATAGAATTCCTTCCTCAGCATGATGGGGAAAGGTGATACAATTCCCTATCAACAGAGGGTAATTGCCCATCAATGAAATGGCTTCTTAATGTTCTTTCACTTTGTGTCATTGGTCATCAGTGTTAGTATTTGAATAGAGGATAGTTTGCTTCATCAATGTGTATTATTAGCTGCATGTACATGTCCTAGGTGTATCTCCTCACAGACCCAAGCACATAGATTTCATGTTTGTTTGGTTCAAGATTCATTGTAAGTTGGTTCAACAATCACAAATTTATGGTGTATAGTTGTTTTTCAACTGTAACTTATACCAAAAACATCTTTCTTGGTTTAACATTTGGAGGGCTATGGTCTAACTTTTGCAGATTACCCAATCTGACTTCTTTAAGAGGCATAAAACAATGTTAGACTCATGCACCCATGTCCTCTCGTTGCAAGAAAATGGAGAGTGGCATTCAAAACCGGCTTGGTTTTATGAGGCCCACCTTTAAACAGGTAGGTGCACTTTATAGTTCAATGAAATTTGTTTTTTAACTTCTCTTTTTCTGTTGCCTTGTGAAGGATTGGAAGAAAATTCCCATCAATCGCTTTTGATTCATTCAAGATGCAGATTCTCAGAGGACCTACTACTGTCTAGATCTGTCTACAATGTATATCAGTTTTAGGTTCTGAATATAAATTTCCTTAGAAATTTTGCTTTTGGGTCCAAAATATGGCTATTGCTTCCATTCTTGCAACATGTCATTTGTTATGTAGCTATGTACTTCTTTTTGGGCTTGGGCACATGAAAGAAGTCCCTTGATCCATTCCAATAAAACTGCTGGATTGTTAATGTTTACTTCTTTCTAAATGTCCACAAGCATTATGAGGAGGCTTTACTTATCAGAAAGATAGCCATTTAAATTTATCATTATCCAATAGTTTTGAAACTATAACCGAACTATTTCACATATCTGGCGAGCATGGGGTTGCGTCAAAAGGGGTGGTCTACATTCTAGTCAGATTGCAGATTGCATACATACAGAGCATATAATTTCCGAATGCGGTAAATTCTTGCTTGTAAAGGCATGTCTACATTATTGGAATCCACTTGACAATGGCAAGCACTATCCAGGAGAGAGAGAGATGTAAAGGCATGTCTACATTATTGGAATCCACTTGACAATGGCAAGCACTATCCAGGAGAGAGAGAGATGTAAGGCATGTCTACATTATTGGAATCCACTTGACAATGGCAAGCACTATCCAGGAGAGAGAGAGAGAGAGAGAGAGAGAGAGAGAGAGAGCACCCATAATGGATTTTGGGGGACCAACGCAGGGAACAAGTGTTTCAGCAATTTCTTCAACTTTTAGCCTTGGATACTGGTCTTACATTATAAATTTTCAGTTGGTTCCTTTGCACAACCTCAAGGTTGCAACTAAGTGACTTCCAGTAGAGTTATACCAAACTTAAATCCTGGTGCATTGTCTGAGGTTTAACAAATGAAAAGTATATGGCACTTAGTTGTGGGCTTCAACCAAACTTAAATCCTAGTGCATTCTCTAAGGTTTAACAAATGAAAAGTATTAATGTGTTTGGAAGTGTACGCCCTCACAAATATCATATATAAGGTGGGGTTTGTATAAGGCTTAGGCATTAAAAAATTAAAGTAAGACGCACTTTCAAATAGTGCCAAAAGATGTTTCAATACTGAAAATCTTTGTGATGGCTTGAAAATTTATTTTTATTTCTAATTATAAAATTTAAAAGTTAAAAAGTAGTGTAGTAGATCGAGCTGATTTATAAACAATTAAAAATCTTGAAAATTGACGGTCCAAAAAATGCATTACTAGATGCACTATTTTCAATATTTGAAAGTTAAAATTCATCTTTTCTCATGTCCACACATCTTTGAGATCTAGATGATTGATTTGAGGAGTTTTGGGCAATTGAACCACCCTCTTTTGTTGACTTTTCAAGGTGTGCCTTAATTTGATTGTTTAGGACCCCACCCTTATATAAAGTTTTTCTGCATGTATAAAGCCATTTGTTACATACAAGTGTTGCGTGTAATATATGTACATCGACATAAAAGAACTAATCTCTCTCTATACCTCAATCATGCACTCTCTCTCTCTCTCTCTCTAAACCTGAATCATGCACTCTCAAACTGGACAAGGGTAGACTACAATGAGCTTTGCTCACCATCTGAAACTTATTTTTGGGGGCAGGTTGGCTTGATTTTCATCGATTGAGATTGGAACCAAGTCTTCTCTCTACTGCTGCCAAATTCAACCACCATTTGTCATTCTCACATGGTCCTCAAGCCCAGCAAAGTGCATCCCACCTGTACACATTACTGAACATGTGCATCAAATTTTCAACCTTCTATAAAAGGCCCCAACAATCCTAAAAAGCTAAGCTGGGTTTCTGGGTTTTTGTAGAGAGAGAAAGTAAGTGCTCTTTTGTGCAGAGAGAGAATGACGGGGTACATGTCACAATCCATAACCTCAAAGAGGAGCAGATTTAAACTATGGCCGCCACTACAAGAAGGAAGTATGACTTAAATTTTGATGGAAGCTCTTTCGATAACTTAAGAAGAGCAAGACTCAAAAAAATTATGAGAGATAATGAATTCACAATACTACTCACTTCGTTAGGTCATGGGTTGATTTTTGACGGATAAAGTTTGAAAAAAAAATACAATGAGCAACAAGCAAGAAAAATAAAACAAAAAAAATAACACAACAGAACAACAAAATTTATTTATTTTTTGATCAATGTTAAAAACTTTATTAACCTAAAAAAAGAATTACAGATGGTTTACATATCATAGACTACAATCAAAGACAAATGCACTCCTCGCTTTGCTAAAGAATCAGCCCAAGCATTTGCTTCCTTGTAAACTTGTTGATAAGGCACCATGAAACCTCCTGCCAAATCTAGAATCTCACACCACAACAGTTTTAAGGACTAAGGCACACATTGCTCATTTGTACACCATTTGATGACATTAAAGGAGTCACCCTCCACAACACATGACGGTCCTAAGTTCTTTGATTTGAGGATCTTAAGCCCTTGAAGAAGTGCTGCTAGTTCAAAGTAATTGGCTGTTGCCACACCTAGAGGCCCCGGAAAACCAAAAGATGACATTTCCAGTGGAATATCTCAGAATACCTCCAATCCTTGCTTCACTCGAATTGCCATGCGAACTCCCATCAAAATTAAACTTTAGCGAACCATGCATTAGAGGAACCTATCTTCCCAATGGTATGCTCTTGACAACCTTTAATTTGACAAGGTTGTGTAGATTTAACCAAACATCTACCTGAGTAGTAACTTGGTACTACTTAGTAATACTCGACCAGCTCCAAATAGAATGAGATATGTTATTGAGAACTCTTTCCAAAGTCAATTCAGACTCTTCAAAAACTCTCCTATTTCTTTCCTTTCAAATCTCCCATAGAATTGCCCCTCACCACTTTTCAAATTAAAATACTCCAACACCTAGTAAACATTGAAAAGCTAGCTAATTTACTAAGTCCTCCACAAACTGAGGTAAAGCCGCACTAATACCCATCCTGCTCAAAAAAACATTCCAAATCCTTGTACTGAAGGGACAATGAATAAACAAGTGAGAACCCGTTTCTCCATCCCTTTTACACAGTAAACACAAATTAGGCAAAATCTTACCACACTTAATTAGATTGTCAATTGTCATTGGGCTGCCAACCATACACATACCTGCACCTTATTGGCCATATCCATGCCGAGGCTAACTGAAGCATCGACCATATCCACCTATCATGAAAAAAGAGAGAATAAATCGATTTAACAATGAATAAATTGATTTAACAGGGAATTGGCCATCGACCTCAACATCCCAAATGATTTCATCTTTCATATCCCTTGAGAAATAGACCTCCGCCAGCATCTTCAATAAAATAGTATAACAGTCCAGAAAACTATTATCCATTATATTGTGAGGGAAACGTAAATTCCAGCATACCTGATTGCCCACAACCTCATATAATTCAGCTATGGTTGCCTCTTGATTTTCAACTTTTTCAAAGAGGTCCAGGTATGACAGCTTCGGTGCTACATCCCCTAGCCACCTGTGATGCCAAAAAGAAACTTCCGTCCCTATCCCAACCACCCACCTAATGTTCCTCGACACTAAATTTTTACATAGAAAAATATCCTTCCAAAAAATAGATCTTCTCGAGCTACCTCTCCCTCCTCCAATCCATAATCCAAATCGATCGATACCATATTTAGCACCAAGCACATGGCACCAAAGCGGATCCTTAGACTGAAGGCTACGACGCCACCATTTACCAAGCAAGGCATCATTCATTAGCGCTAGCCTCCGAATCCCTAAACCACCCTCCTTCTTCGGGGTTCATACCCTGTCCCACTAAAAAAGATGGCAATGCTTACCATCTCTATTGGAACCCCACAAAAATTACACATCATTTGTTCAAGCTTTTTAACCACATTTCTCGGCATTTTCAGCAATGACATATGATAGATAGGTAAATTAGCTAAGCACGAGCGTAATAAAGTCACCCTCCCTCCTCTTGATAGATATTTTGGCTTCCATAAATCCAGTTTGGTTTGCACCCTCTGAATCACCTTGTCCCAAACAGAGATTGGAAGCCTAGAGTCTAAAATACAAAGCCCCAAATAATTGATAGGGAACACATCAATTTTGCAATTCAGTAAACCTGCCAGCTCTACCACCACTGCTTCACTATAATGAATGCCAATTAGAGACGCTTTTCAACCCCAAAGCTGCTTCACAACACCTTAAAAATCTCCGATCATTGTTTACTTGGTCTATTTCTGCCCCAAAAAAAATTAAGGTGCCGTCTGCATATTGCAAATGCGGCACACAAGGGCCATCTCTCCCCACTTGAAAAGCAATGAACAATCCAACACTTTGTACATTTTTCAACATCAAACTAAAGCATGCAGCATAGATAGAGAATAAAAAAGGAGACAAAGGGTCTCCTTGTCTCGAACCTCTGGATGCCCTAAAGAAACCTTTCAAACTCTCGTCAATTAGAACCAAGACATGTGCCGAAGAAACACAACCAAAGATCCAACTCCTCTATTTACTACTAGAAGAATCCCCCATTCAACCCTATCATATGCATCCCTCATTCAAC